GTATATATGAATGATTTGTTTTGTTTTATAATTAAGCATAAAGCTACACAATGGGCTATCTGTGCTCTGCCCACCACGGGTATCGAAACCCGGTTTCTAGCGTTGTAAGTCTGCAGACATACCGCTGTGCCACTGGGGGCATATATGAATGAAGACAGAGCAGTAGTTACTTTGAGTTCCGTGTAATTTACGATTCTGTTAGTTTCGAGCTAATGAGCCGTAAAGTGTGTGTTTTGCATTCGTCGAGAGCGAAATTATCGAGATTGTGAATCGCTGTGATTTATACCGTGTATTATAAAAGTTGTTAAGTTTAAAGTGACGAGAAATGTACTGATTGTGGAACTTCTGTGTACTAAAAGTTTGTATCGAGGAAGAATAAATTGGTTTAATCAAGAAAGGACTCCTATCGCTGAAGATCCTCGGAAAGAATTTATACCGAAAATTAACAAACGACCAGATACGTAACACTATTTTTTAGCTAATGAAACTTATTCTTACGTAGTTTTACTTTAAATTCAAGTCACTATTTAAAAGATGACAGTTTTTACTTCGAAGTTACGTGACGCTGGTAACACGTGATGAGTTTCTAGAAGGATCATGAAGGCTCGAGTATTTGCCAGACGCTCTCTATTTTTGTATATATAAGCCCGGCATATAATTGCAGATAGGGAGATATAGAGACAGATAATCGAGTCAAGTCGTAAGTAAAGTGTGTGAATCGTTGTGAATTATAGCGTGTGTTGAAGTTAAAGTGACTGTGGAAATTAAGTGTATTGCAAAGTTGTATTGAGAAAGAATAAAATAGTTTTATTTAAGAAAGGACTTGTATCGCTGAAGTTCTTCGGAAAGAATTTTTACGGGAAATTAACAAACGAACAGTGACGTAACAATACCAATACTAAATTTATCACTTCATGATCTTATTCTCTGCAATTGAATAATGTTTACTAAACCAATATTTAAATCTAAAGGAAGTAAAATAAAACATTTTATCTTAAAAGTACATCTGAATATTTTGCTCTTTTATCAACAAACAATTTTTACTTCATCCAATCCTGCACCTCTGATAATAATCGGGAGTTAAAAAGCCAAAGTGTAAGTTTTAACAGTGTTAGACTGAAAACAAATACTTAGAGTTGAGGGAAAGTGTAAGTTTTAACAATATTAGACTAAAAACAAATACCGCCCCCAGTGGCACAGCGGTATGTCTGCGGAATTAGAAAGCGGGTTTCGATACCCGTGATAGAAAGAGCACAGATAGCCCATTGTGTAGCTTTGTGCATAATTCCAAACAAAAAACAACAACAAATACCTAGAGTTGAAGGAAATAAAAACACGAAGTATAAAAAATGTTAGACTTTGCGCCGGAAGCTATTTTCTAAGCCAAAACGTATAAGAACGATGTGATTTGCTTTACAGCAAATTCATAACTGTCGACATTTGAGTGAATAAAATTTCCTTCCATTGTGAAACAGACTTACAAGGTGGCGTGCATAACACGTAAACTAAGATGGCACTTGTATTTCTTCGAGCGGATTAGAAACAAATGATAAAATATATATATATATAGTTTGTGGTGTATAGCTAATTAATAATAAGCTTTGAGTTATGTGATTATACACGAAAATATTTTATTTTAAGGTATACCGACATTTTTAATATATATATTAAATTATCATTATTATTATTAGTATTAGCTGTATGTTTCCCTCATTGATGATTAACAACAACAAAACGTACTCATTATTCAGATAAGCTAACTTTTATTATGATTTATTATGTATGAACAGTAATAACTTGTAATTCAATTGCTTACACCAACCAATCACTCTTACACTTAGAAGTTAAGACTCAGTTTATTTAGTCTTATTTCTACATTTTTATTTGTTGTTGGTATCAAATGGTAAACATAAATTATATACACATTAATAAAGTCAAAAGAATTTAAAGCTTTTAAGTTAAGTAAACTTGAAGGTCTTCTGGTTTTTGCAGAATAGTTAATAATTGCATGCATTCTTTTGTCAGTGTGTGTGATTATAGTTTGTCCTACCAAAAAATACAATTTGATTGAAAATTTATAATTTCTTCATACGTACAAATATAACATTGATTTGGAAAATATTTAGTTTTGTCTTTTATGATTATACCTTTCAGTCTAAATTCGTTGTAATTTTTAGTAAAACAACATTAACCCTGATATTATCATTATAGACTTAATATTAATTATTTGATTAGAGAAAGAATGTTAGTAGAATCTCCAAATTTGTGATAAAATGCTCTTGGACTAGTTGACTGATGAATCCAAGACCATGTAAAGAATTAACCAAAAAACTGGATCTTTCACTGAAAAACATGTTTGCAACTGTGTCACTATGACAACAGTGGTTTTAGTAGTTTCATATAAACCTGTTATTTTGTAATTTTCCATTAACATGTTCTAACAGGAAATCATTCATTGTCAGTGCTTTATATTTATCATATATGTTATATTCAGTATCTTGTATATTATCTACCCATTGCTTGTGTTACTCACACTGTTGTTAATAAGTGGTATTGAACTGTATTTGATTTATCTATGAACTTCAGTTCTGAGCCACCCCCCAACAAAATTTGCCTCACATCCCCCGGGTCCTTAATCTGGCCCTTTTAACATCTTGGCTGTCAAAGCTTACATATTAAGCCGTTTACTCATAATATTCCAGTTTAACATCCTAACCGGCTCATTCAAACTCTCACACAGAAAATTATCCAAAAACCCTAATAACTTAAAACACCTGAAATCTGAGGAATTTTAGTTCTTATCATACGTGTACATTATAGAAAATGTGCCTAAAATTCAGCTGTTATCATTTTAAGTCCATTGAACTGATGTTAGTACCTCATTTTCAAGGTTTTTTCAGCATGTTGTATGTCTTACTAATAGAACTAACACTTTATATGTTATTATTATTGAGGCTTCACAAGAGCCGTTTACAATGTTATAATAAAATTCTTACACATAGTTTTTTTTTACTTTCTATAAATGCATCCTAGAATTGAATTTGTTTTTTTCAGTACAGCAAGTGTCGAGCTGTAGACTTGAAGTTTTTAAACTAATAGTCACACCTGAAGACTCATTCAAGAAGTCCTGTTCAAATTTCCACTTGCTATGTGCATGATATTATACTTGTCAGTATTAAACTTATATCCCATGTTCTGGTACCAAGTAAAAAAGGAATTACAGGTAACTAAACATTTGCTAAGTTTCATGAATGCTAAAAAAGTATAAGTTTGTGAAATTGGTGTTAATACTGACAAACAGTTATCAAAGTACCCATTTTGTTTTACAAGTGCTTGTCTCACCATCTTATAACGACTGTGTTAATTATGTAACCTATACTGAGTCAGTGACCACACCATATTAAATAATTGCTCCAGCATAACATTTGATGGAGTTGAGTGACGTTATGAGTGTGAAAGGTTTAAATGCCCAGACATGCGTTTGAATATATACATCTAGGGGTAAGAAAGTTATGCTAATTGTGTAACTTACGTTGATTCAGTAATGACATCATGAAAAATAACCAACTTAACATAACTTATGTTAGAGTTAAATAGAATCATAACTTTGAAAGGTGGAATGTGTAGAATCGTGTTACTTTACGTAAGGTTATGTGTATTCTGTAACTATTATGATAATTTATAAAATTACTTTTCATAATAACCTCATTAAAGATTGTATGAAATTGGAAAAATTGTCATTGTTATACATTTTAGTTAAATAGTAATTACCACAAAATTGAAAAAATGACATTTACAATCTGTTTCAATCCACTGTAGTGTAAGTAGGGGACCTTGTTTGTGTTTCTCTTATTCAGGAATATTTGAACAGCCTTAATGACCAAGGCAGGATGTGGAAAATTAGTTTCTATGTTGTGAAGTGCAAAAATAATGTTTTTGTGTAAGAAAGGGCTTGCTTGTATGAAGGTACCATCAGTGACTTGGAAAAAGGAGGATTTAAACTTTCATAAATATCTTTAGTTATGGTTAAAAGAGCTAATAGATTTTGTATTTTAAAAGTAAGTGAATTATTATAACTTTGAAAGAAGCTTATGATGTATCACTTAGAATACCTGTACTGTGTGTTGTTTTAATATCCTTATGACACGAGTTGAATGACCTTAATCACTTAGATTACCTGTACTGTGTGTTGTTTTAATATCCTTATGACATGGGTTGAATGACTTGAATCACTTAGATTACCTGTACTGTGTGTTGTTTTAATATCCTTATGACATGGGTTGAATGACTTGAATCACTTAGATTAACTGTACTGTGGGTAGTTTTAATGCCCTTATGACATGGGTTGAATGACTTGAATCACTTAGATTAACTGTACTGTGGGTAGTTTTAATGCCCTTATGGCATGGGTTGAATGACCTTAATCACTTAGATTACCTGTACTGTGTGTTGTTTTAATCCCCTTATGACTTGATGACATGGGTTGAATGACCTTTTGTCACTTTGTCTTATTTTATGGAAAAATACCATATTTAGTTAAGTAATAATAATTGAGCTATGAAAAGAAGCATATAGATTTAGACTTGTTTTAACTAGAATATAGAAAACCTAGAGTTGATTTAACATAGGTGTTTAGAACTTTTAGAATTTTGTTTTCTTTTTACCAACAGTAGTCTTGGCCATTTGTTTCACATTGATAAAATAATAAATTTAAGTTAATCAAAAGTTCATTTTTTCATCTTTTGTCTTTTGAGAGAAATGAAAACAAAAAATTGATCATAATGTAACATGTTGCTGCTAGACATTTTTAGGTGGCAGGTTTGATTGTGATAGTGTCCTTAAATGTAAATCAATTCTGATTGGTAAATAAAACTTTCTGTAGTGTAAAATAGTGTTAATTCTAATTGGTAAATATAACTTTTTATATTGTGAAATTATGTTAATTCTAAATGGTAGATATAACTTTTTATATTGTGAAACTATGTTAATTCTAATTGGTAGATATAACATTTTATATTGTGAAATAATGTTAATTCTAAATGGTAGATATAACTATATATTGTAAAATAATGTTAATTCTAATTGGTAGATATAACATTTTATATTGTGAAATAATGTTAATTCTAATTGGTAGATATAACATTTTATATTGTGAAATAATGTTAATTCTAATTGGTAGATATAACTTTATATAAGATAATTTCAAAGTTTTTATTAATGTTCTTATCAAAGTTTGTACACCATGTTATTGTAAATTTATCATTTTTTAAATTAACATATATATATATATATATATTTAATATTTAGCCAAATAATGTATTGTTACATTAATAAAATTGATTATAAATAATGCTGCTACTTGAGGTATTGCAGAAAATGTGGATTATATTTGATTTAGACTGATAAAAATGAAATAACCTTTTGATAAAATCACCAAAAACAAAAGAGAGGAAAAATTTTGAAATAACTTCAAATTTAATCATGTAACTGTTGGCCAAAATTATGAAAAATTAATGAAATCTAATATGTGTGTTTACAAACTTCTGTCTTAGATTTGTGTAGTCTGAGTATCCTGAAAAAATTCCTGGTATTGAGTTATATTTCCGTGTTGCAAGATGTTCAAGTTGGAGTCGTATATAACACCCTTGTTATTGAGTTACGTTGATAAATATATCAAAAATTTTAAACCTGAAGATTCACAGGTAAGTTAGAAACTCATTTTTTATCAAGTTAATTTAACTTGAAAGTTGATTTTAGTAAAAGTAAGGTTTACACCCAGTTAAATTCAAGCTTTTAATCCCATTTTAAAAATCGTCTTGCTAGTTTAATGTAATGCAAGCCTGTTTTGTATGTTGTATCATTGTTCCTTCCAACACAGGGCTATTTAAAAAGAAAGAAGTGGGATATACTGAACTTTTTGCAATGTATAGATCTCTAGTGATAAACTATTAGATAGTAGTTTATTACTTTTATTTTGTGTATTACTTCATTAATATTAAGTATGAACTTTTGTCTTGTTAGTTTACCAGTATTTGAAGGAATTACAATATTCAGACCAGCAGTATTACAATAATCATGATTTTTATAAAAACACCGTATCTCTGGAGAATTAATTTTTTCCATGAACATGTTTTCATTGACTATTATTTGACATGCATGTTTGTGCTGCTTGCTATAAGATTGTGGGAGAACAGCTAATAAATGTTTTTTCAAGTTGGTATCAGTAATAAGAGAATTGACAATGTCGTATAAACCAGTACATAGCTGATCTACAGTTACTGCTGTTGTAACAATAAGTGAAATTGAAGATGCTATGAATATATAGCTAGATATATTTTGTGTTGTAACAATAAGTGAAATTGAAGATGCTATAAATATGTAACTATATATGTTTTGTGTTGATATTTGTAGCTGCTTTTCAGTTTATTGGAAATGAATAAATTATGGTTAAGAAGTTAGCCCACAGGATCACATACATATATGTTTGAGTATAATTTTGTTATTTACTCAGCTTTCTCTCTGGGGAGGAGATGCAGTGTTTAGTAACCTAGACTTGAAACTAGACGTGCTCGAACACGAACTCAGCCTTCCCTTTACCTTCGTCAATGGTCATATCCACGAGTTACGTATTCACGTGCCTTGGACAAAGCTCGGTTGGGAACCTGTAGTCATCACCATCAACACCATAGAGTGTGTTCTCAAGTTACGAGGAAATGACCAGGAAAGTGCTAGTTGTAAACCTTCCGTTCAACCATCCATGGCTGAACGTTCGACAAAGCGTCGTAGTAAACGACAAGACATTCCAGAAGAACCGCCAGGGTATGTCCAGAGTCTGATTAATCGCATCGTTAATAACATTAGTATTGTGTTTAACAATCTGATACTAAAGTATGTGGAGGATGACATAGTCCTGTCTCTGAACATCAAGTCAGCTGAGCTGTTCAGCGTAAACAGTGGCTGGGAGCAAGCATTCGTGGATGTTAGTCCTAGTGACCCAGTGTTAAGGAAGATAATAAACATGCAAGACTTAACGATATGCCTGGACCAGGTGAGCTGTTTCCTTCCTTTTTGTGGTGCTTGTTAAAGTTGGTTAATGGTTTCTTCGTTATTTTATCACAGTTGGATTCCAACTAACTCTGCCTGGAAATCAGTCAACTGTGTTTTAAATAAACCTGTCCAGTTTTAACGATATACTCTCCACTTGTCTGATTTTTCAATAGTTTCGTGAACATTTTTTGCAACTGACCCCTAAATTTTATGAGGGACATTTTAACAAACTTTGTAGATATATTTTAATGATAATAAACATTGACTTATATCTGACCTTCTACTTGATATATGGACATTCCGTTTGATTTGTGTTTAAATCTAAGCTGGTTCCTTCCTTTGGTGGTGTGTTAGATTTTAACATGCTTCTTATTGAACTTAAAAGTTGAGTGCTGACCTGATCATGTATACTTTAGCTGTAAAAGTTGACTTATATCTGACCTTCTACCCGATATATGGACCTTCCATTTGATTTGTGTGTAAATCTAAGCTGGTTCTTTTCTTTGATGGTGTGTTAGATTTTAACATGCTTCTTATTGAACTTAAAGTTGAGTGCTGACCTGATCATGTATACATTAGCTGTAAAAGATGCATGCTGGTGAACTCAATAAAACAATAAGTTATCTTGGGAGCTTGTGCTTTTCTTTTGTAGATTACAGCAAATTGTTTATCCCCATCATTAATTAATTTCTTGATGTTTTAATGATCATCCTATTAATCTGTCCATTGTACAATAGTGCTTTATTCTGATTATTGCATGTGTAAGAGAAAGGTACAAGCAAAGTTGCATGTGTGGTCTGCAAACCTCGCATTATCAGACACTGTAAAGAATCTCGTTCCGTATGATCAGGTCAAAGTACACATCATGACCTTTTACAGTATTACATTAAAAATCTAAACAACTTTCTTATCAACGTATGTCAGTAAACTTGGCCTAAAAATGTAGTTTGTAATTCATTGTTTTATTTCACATAAGTTTTCAATTCTCAATTTCAAACTAGAAATATTAAAAAATCTCAATCTTCATTTTTATCTACCACGTGATACATGATTTCTCCACTTCAGAGTTTTCTAACTTCTAAGATAGACGGCTGCAGTTTCCAACCAGTTAGAAACACAAACTATATGTATAATTGTAAATAACAGATGATTTTATTGGTTCAAGTTGAAAAACATAAGTAAATAGATAAAGTTGTTTTCTTAGATTCTGAAGAAAGAGGTTTTTAAATCCAAAAAGTACAATAATAATTACTTAATGCTTCAAACTGCATTTATTACACATACACACACACTAGTAATGTAAGCAATTAACAATTAAATAACTTTTTCCTTCAGAAATTGTTTTCACATTGTGAATACATATGATGCAGAAATTTCAAGTCTTGCTATTTTCAGAAATGTCTTCTTGATATTTGGAGAGATAAGTGACTTCTCCCTGTTAAGGGAAACTGGCTTGACACCTGATAAGAGTGGGCTCAGCTGGTGTTAAATATAGTAAGAGTTGGCTCAACTGGTGTTAAATATAGTAAGAGTGGGCTCAGCTGGTGTTAAATATAATAAGAAAGGGCTCAGCTGGTGTTAAATATAGTAAGAATGGGCTCAGCTGGTGTTAAATATAGTAAGAATGGGCTTGGCTGGTGTTACATATAGTAAGAGTCGGCTCAG